GGCACTACGCATGAAACACCTTGCAAAACTGTATCTCTTAACTGTTCGATCGTTTTAATATATCGGTTTTTTAGGTTACTGAATGGAAATCTGAAATCAAAATTCAATATAAAGGATCCTTTATGGCGGACGAAAACTCGAAAACCTACTTAAATAGACTGTATCTGTGACATGCGATTTTCTAAATATAATACAATTTCTGACATTCATTGTTAGGTATGTAAGGTGAATCAAGCTTGTTAAGAACATATTGTATATTGTTTATAATATACAGAATTGGGGTATTTCACCCCCTAATTTTCACTCCCCTTCCAACATACCTAGGCCAATTTTTGTCTTCTATCGAAAGATACTTTCATACCAAAAATCATCAAAATTGCTTCACTGATCTCGAAAATATCGCAATTTTTCCATTTTACTCTCACACTTTAGGGGGTTGTTTCATACCCTAAGTATGTTTTACCGCAGCTAAAAAAAAATACGTGTCCCCTAATTTTCCATGTACTACAACATATCCAAATTTCATGGAAATCGGAGAGTGACACTTGGGTAGGTTTACTTGTCAGTGGAAGTATTCGTAGAGTGATTTCTGTATTTTTGATTAAAATGATTCTTTTATTATGTGATAATTTTTAATCAAACGTGTTTGTAATTACTTCATACATTTTGATGCTACTTATTAATACGAAAATGAAGAATAAATGTATGTAAAAATAAGAAGTATACCGGAGAAATATTGTGCACTGAATAAATGTATGTAAAAATAAGAAATATACCGGAGAAATATTGTGCACTGCAAATATGAAACAAGTGCTTTATTGTTACTGTAATTTCTATGATTGTGTTACAAATAAGAAATGTATATTTTTATTTGAATTATAATATTCTAGAGCATCTGTCATTTGTACGTTTTTGATGGTGGGTGTACAATTACTTTCTTTCTTAATAACATTTTAGAGAGTTATGTGCCACTTATTGATGTGTAATTGGGGAAAATATGTGTACATTTACACATGTATATTTTAAAGTTTGGATTGTCTGTATATTTTATAATACTCTGACATATTTTTTACTTTTACAAATATGTTTATACACGTAGGTTACATATGTGAAGTAAAATTTACATTTGTATAAAAGTAAGAAATATTTTTCCAGAGAATTGCAAAATATACGGATAATTTAAACATTATAAATTTAATAATTTTTGAAATAATTATTTGAAATATTACTTAATCTCTTATAAAATGTTTCATATCCTAAAAGAAATTTTTAATTTAATACAAGCATTTAATGTTACATATAGATAGGAACTGGGAGAAATTCATAAAATGAATCATACTATAACACAAAAAGAAGATCATACTATAAATTATGTTATAAACAAATTATGTAAAAGAACATCAAAGCGACTGAATCTTAAAAAATTCACCTAATACTTTATTAAAATAAAAAATAATTAGTAATATAAAAATAAAATTGGGTACTTCGAATATATCTGCCACATAGAAAATTGTATTTTTAAATACAGTACTTCCATTATCATTAAAATTTTAAAACAATATACTGTTCGTTATGCAACTGTTGAATATAAACGAGTTAATTATCTTTCGAAATAACAGAAATTGAAAGAAAAAATACAGAAGCACATTTAAAAAATTCGTTAAATAAAGAAATTGTTATCATGCTTATAGTGTGAAATTTTTGTATTGTTTACATAACAAGTTTTTGGAGTTAATTTAAAAATTTTCTATTCTGTGGTATTTGCGAACGAGGGATTGAACTTACCGAGTAATAATGCAATAATATGGTCGAAATGTAAAACCTTAATCAAAATTAAAAAAAGACATTTACTTTGGAAGAGGTTTCGTAAATAGCAATTAACTTTTCACGAAATACGAAACATCTCGCCAAAGGCATTAAGCAAAATTCAATTTTGTGAAAGCTTAAACTCGTTTCAATGTTAGCTGTCTCTTTGTTTTGCAATGAAATACTTAAATTGTATAATCATTATTTATTCCGTTATTACGAAGTTGTTTATAGAAAAAATAAATAATTTGAATGGTATCTATGAAATTTATCAATATTAAGGTAAATTCGTAAAAAAATATTCTATGTTTTTTGCGTCAATGTAAAGTCATACATTAAATTAATTTGCGCATATAAAATAAAAGGTAGTAAATAGAAACAAATATTTTCATTATTAATTACGAAATATTATTTTCACATTTTATTCAGAAATTTTTAATTAATGTAACATTTTTCTTTTATCTGTAATATAGTAAAAAATGATAACATAAATGTAAATTCTTTTGACATAAATCAAAGCATTAATATTACTAATTAAGAAAAATAAAAAGTTGAAAAGTAGAGGTAATAAAAAATTGTGGCAAATCTATAAGAAAAAATGTTGATAAACGTATTTCAAAGTTATTGTTAATTTTATTTATATTTTTCTGTCCAATTTAACGAATATAATTTTTTTACGGAATTGAAATTCCATCGCATTTATTCTTAATGAGTTTCATACATTTTTCCCAGTGTGTTTGGGGTCGTTATTCTGTGTAAAAATAAATTTTTCAAACTTTTAACGACCACTCCATAATAAAGGTCATTCAAACTCTAAACTTCATCGAGTAGCTAAAATACGAGAGTTCCGTTAAATATTGGGTTGTTACGTAAATAAGTTTGGTATCAAGTACTGCCCATTTAAAATTCGTTGAAGTTCTTGTGCGCTTGGTAAATAAAATGCGTTGCAGATGAGAAGTAATCCATTAATAGTAATACTGATTATACTATAAATTAAATTTGTACGCTCGTAATTATTTTTGTATGTATATACGGTGTTAATTATATTATAGATGGAAAATAATTCAATAATAAATGTTTATAACGTGCTTCACTTCTAAATAAACTTTCGTGATTCATATCGAATTTACTTGTAATAAATGCAGAAAGTGTACCATTTAATGTCATTTAAGGTTTTGCAAAAGTAATATCTTTCATTTTTGAAAGACAAATAGTTCGTCCATATTTTGGAAGATCTCGAAAACAGTGCAGTCGCAGGTAGTGATTGAGAATCAGTTCCATAATCTAAAAATTCCAAATTATTCAGTTCCTTGATTTTTAAATTTCTAGATTTCCAGATTTCTAAATTTCTAAATTTCTAAATTTCTCAATTCCTAAAGTCTTGAATTCCTGAATTCCTAAATTTCTATATTTCTAAATTCTTACAAGTCAGAAAGTTCACAAAATTCACAAAATTCCCCAAATTTCTCAAAATCACCAAATTCTCCAAATTCGCCAAACTCCTAAAATTTCCTAAATTCCAAAAACTCCCAAAATCCTAAAAATCCCCGAATCCCCCAAATCTCCCAAATCCCCCAAATCCCCCAAATTCCACAAATTCCTAAAATTCCTGAAATTCCTAAAATTTCCAAATTCCCCGAATTCCCCGAATTCCCCAAATTTCCAAAATTCCCAAAACTTCTAAATTCCTAAATATCTATATTTCCAAACTCCTGAGTTTCTAAAATTCTAACTTCCTTAATTTTTGAACTTTTAAATTTCTGATCTTCAAAATTTCCAAACCTAATTTTGTTCACTTGAAACTATTATTACACTAATTTCGATTTAATTAATAATTTGCTGAATGAAAAAAATAATAATCTGATTCGTCAATAGTTCTTAAACGAATTGAATTCATTGGTAAATAATCTAAAATAATTTATTTTAACTTAATTAGAAATAAAATTAATTTTTGAGTTCATTTTATACAATAACATTTACTAAATTCATTAGTCAGAATCACGAGAGGTGACATCATGTGTCGCTAAAACTAAATAACAAAAACAAAAGATAGAGAACCTTCAAAAAAACTTGATCTAAAAAAAGAAACATGTTACTAATACATAATTTAATTTATTGCCCTAATTTATTTTTTACCTTTTCTATAATAAATATTGTTAAACAGTGTATTCTTCTTACTAAAAAAATCTGCTTAAAAATTATTTTTATTCACACTTGAAGGCAAAATAATTTTCAAATACTTATGGTGCTTTGTAAGATAGTGATAATAATAGATCAATATTTGGTAGAAAACGAAGCACGAGTTCGATTGATTCCAGGTGTATTACAGTCTCCAGAGGTCGAGCAAGGGGTTGTCGTCGATGCCACAGAGGCCAGTTCCCTCGTCGGTATCAGCCCAGGGGAAGTTCCATCAACCGGAAGTGGTGACGCGTTCGAATCGAATACAGGAGAGTTGTATATAAACTGGGAAAAGTCTTCGTCGACGAACACGAGCGCCTCCCTGAACGTTTGAAGCTGGTCGTATTCTCCGTCAGCAACATTTCAGGCTTAAATGAAAAGTTGAATTCTCGCGAATCGCACGTTGCGTCTTCCTGCAATCGACGTGCAAATTTCCATGCGATTTCACGAAACATCGCGAACGTTCGTTGTACAAAACCGACGAAAAATTCCACATCGCCGTGAAACGGGAACGAGAAGTTGCATTTATCCGACTTTCGTCGCCGGGACAATGATGGATTATCTCGCAAAGTTAACGAAAGGATAAGTAACTCGACGTAACGTAACGAATCGTGATGGGATTCCGCGTTCAATTATTCTTTTTCTACCTGGAGATTTTTATAATAGCGTCCAACGTGAAACAGGAAGAAGCCAGAAACGTTCGATCAGAAGATGAGTGCAATTTGACGAAGTCGTCGAATTACCGAATACACATACGCATACATACATAAAAAATATTTACGCGTTTGTTCCCGTGTTCACGGCACAAAACCGTACATTTTACTGTTTATATGAGATTAGTTTTTGTACAAAGATCTATTGTAAATAGGCGACGCTGCCTGGACCTAGTGGATAGTCACCGATATCCGAATTTCATTCGCTGAAATAAAAAACAAAGTCATGTTAAGTCTGAGTGGAGGATTGTTCGGTCACGTAAGATAAATACTCGATGGCATACAAAATAAAGAGAATACGTTTCATCTGTTTTACAGAAACGAGTCTCGCCCACTTGTCGTCCTGCCCTTTTCCCTGATCCACTCTATTAAGTGAAGAGAAAAACGTAGCAAACGAGGAGCCAAAATTTCGGTCGCACGTGAGCCGAATGAATACGATCGCGTGATCGCATTGACCGTCGCGTTTCCATTTCGAACGTGAAAGAAATCTTAGTGCATTCGCCACGGTGAAAGTCCTATGAAAATTTTAGCCCAGCGCGAAACACGAAACGATTGAACATGTTACCACGAACAATCGAGTTCCGTTCGTTTGCGACAGGATTGGGCGTAATTTTATTCGGATAAAAATAATATTTAATATGTTACTTAAATTTATTTACTTGAATGATCATTTATTCGTTACATTGATTCATATTGTGTTTGTGTTATAAATATTTAACGAATTTAACATTAGATATGTTCTTTGAAGTGTACTTTGTAATTATTTTCGTATTGATGTTTATAATGAAATTTAATGAAAATGATGAAAAACGTTTATATTTCATTTAATGAACTTCTGTTGTTGGTTGTATTTAAAGATTTGGTACTTTTATGTAAATTTATTGATAGTATGTAATTGTTTGATTATAATGTTTCAGTAACCATTTCTGTTATTATTTGAGTGACTTCTTTGCTGTTATTTGAATGATTTAGAAATTGTTATTGCAATAAATTGTTGAGATAAATAATTGTGAACTTGAATAAATTATTTAAATAAGTAGTGATGAGTTATTTGAGTGAATAGAGAGAATATTTTAATGTAGTTATCCGAAAAAACTCGAATAACGCCCAACTCCTGTTTGCGTTGAACGTATAGTATAATCTAATGATGGACTATTGCACCCGTGAGGTTGCGGTAAATCGATTAGCAAATGGCGAACATTTGCGGGCATTGATGGGCAGTCAATTTCTCAATTTGAAACTATGAAAACTTCAAGTTTGGAAATTTTTTATCTCTGTATTTTTAAAATTTGGAATTTAAAAATAAACGCTTGGAAAATATGTAAGTTTATAAATTTGAAAACTTGGTAATTTGATATTCCTTTATATCTACATATAAATTTCTAAATTTCTAAATTTCTAAATTTCTAAATTTCTAAATTTCTAAATTTCTATATTTCTATATTTCTATATTTCTATATTTCTATATTTCTAAATTTCTATATTTCTATTCTTCTATATTTCTATATTTGTATATTTCCACATTTTTACGTTTCTAACAAGGGACATCACCAAGGTGTCACACGCCGATTTTAATGAAATTGATATATGTACAAGGGACATCACCAAGGTGTTACACGCCGATTTTAATGAAATTAATATATGTGGTAGCTTTCAAAAATCATTTGACACGTATTTTTTTATATCTGCGATCATCCATGTTGAGGGGGTGAAAATAGCCCTCAAAGTTCGGGGTTGAAAACACATTTTCTTTAATATCTCGGAAACTAGAGGATGCAGGAAGGTGAATTTTTTTTTAAATTGTGTAGTTTTAAGTCGGGAATTTAGTTAGTGACAACAATTTCGGGAGAAATTATTTATTTAAATAATATATTAAAAAA